GGCTTTCCCATTAGCAGAGAGCTGAACCTGTTCTACAGGCGCTTGTGGGAGATGTGGGTTTAACGGTTTCGTCTCCCACCCTGGACCCCATCCAGTCACCATCAAGACTGCAGGTCCACCAGCCTAAAGTGTATGGAGGATGGGACAGAGAGAGGACAGTGCCTGACGGATTGATGAACTGATGATTCATTTGTTCATTATCTAGCTAGCTCACAGTGGATGCCTTTAGGTTTGAGAGGCAAGTAAGATTAAATACATTGTTCAGGGGAGTAGGACAAGATAGTAGATTTTTTTTTTTCTTACGCAAGATGGTTATTGCTCAGAGCAAGTCTTGATTTACTCAGTATAGATTTAATTTCTCTCTCTCTTTCTTTTGTGTGGCAACCATTAAAAGATTTTTTCAGTGAACATTTGCTGTATCCTGTGACGTTGGTGTCAGGGTCTGCGCTAAATGTCAGGGACACCAAAATGATCGAAGCATGATATTGACAATGTGACAACACACTTAAATATGTAACTTGAAGATGTTCCCTTTTGCTTCTGGCTTTTGCTTTGCCTGAAGGAGGGCTATTTCTCTTGGAAGAGAGTGGACAAGTGTGCAGCAGATGAACAGAACCGTGTTTGCGTTCCAGCTGTTGTACCAGCTGGGAGGCTCTGACACTGGCCTCCACCTGTCTGACTCCTGCTTCCTTTAGTTCAGAACCAAGTTATTTTTACGCTTATATCATGGGACAGACTCAGTGTGATGGAAGTTCTTAAATGCTGAATTTGGAACGAATGCATTCTTGTTTCTAGAAATCCATGTATTAATACTAAGTGGCTACTTTCACAGCAACAGACACAACACATAAAATGAAGCAACAGTTTATAGCTGCAGGTGGCAGAGTCCATCCCCTTATTTCAATGGCATGAGGGGCCTTGGACACAAGGAAGGACTGGACCCAAAGTCATTGAAAATACAGAGGACCAGCCAGGGTTACTCAAATCTCCTGGCTCTGAGTCCATGCTCTTTTTATTGAGGCAGCCATGACATCACCCATGAAACAAGTGCAGATTTTAATCTCCCTCATCAAGAGGCCTGATGGCTATACAACTCATGCATACATATCATCAGGGTTCCTGGGTGGTTGACACTCATCACCCTCTGACTTCATTTTTTTTTTCCCCCTTTGCAAGATGGTTATTGCTCAGAGCCAATATCCCTTTTCCAAAAAGTGAACATTGCCAGAAGGGTTTTTGGAAACTGCCTTGCTATCTGTCAGGAGCCAGATGATTTGCAGCAGTGAACCAACGCTCATAACAAGGAGACCTGATTGGATTACCAATTAGCCACCTCCACCTCTGGAGGGTGGTTGGAAAGAAGAGAAAAGATGGTGTTTAGTTTGGGCAAATACCAAGAGGGCTTTATCATCCTCATCGAGGCATCAGCACAGCACATTAGGCCTCCTCCGAGCCATTCCACAGGAACGTCTCTCTCCTGATGCAAGAGCGAACTTGTTATGCAAACATTGGGTTATTGTGTCTGAACTACAGAAGCACCTCTGTGTCAGCGAGAGGCGAGAAACTGGCTGACTTGTGTCTGTTTTTAATGATGTCTCTGCTGCTGGGAAGTTTTGGAAACTGCAGGTAGAATCTTCCCCCAAGGAAACAGGGCTGGCCTGGGCTGCCTCATCTTACCTCCCCTGATGGAAGCCCCTGGGTGCGGGTCGGCCCTGGGAGGGACAGGCAGATGATTTCTCTACCTGGACCTTGCAAGAAGTGTCCCGGTGCAGGATCTCTGGGATTTTCTTGAAAATAAGCTCAGGTACTGGCAGTGTTAGCACTAGAGCAGGGGAGGGAGGCCGAAGGTGGCTTGCTCTCCCTAGCAGGAAGCTGCTGGTGGGTGTGCTCAGGAGCTGGCCAGGGTGAAGAGCCGCCCTCTCCCTCCAGGGGTTCTCCAGAGCTGCGCCATGTTTGGGCCCCATTGTCTAAAGTCAGTGTGGGATGAATGGGGTGGGGCTGCCACTTGCCTATGCCACGGCTTCCGTGAGGGTCTAGAAAAGAGGGGGTCCTCTGGTTTCAGGCATCCCTGCAGGGACAAGGTGAGGCCGGTGGGGGCATCTGTGTGAAGGACAGGGAGCCCCGTCCTTCAAGCACGTGTGCAGCCCAGACCCTCGGCGCAGGTCTCGGAGATTCCGGCCCCTGCTTCTTGCTCTGTCAGCGCCTTTGAGCCCCACTCAGCAGCACAGCTGTGCCCCGAGGGTCAATGCTGCCACTCTTAGGGACTCCAGGGCTGGGCCAAGGGGGAGAAGAAAACTGGATCTCTCCCAGTTGCTTAGAAAGATTGAAGATGTTTCTATGACTTGACTTTCCCCATTTCTAAGGCAAAGGGGCCAGGAGAAGAGCTGGCAATCAATCACAGTGGACGCTTACAAGCGTGTGTTTATACACATACGCTGAGGCATGACGCGGGAACGCACACACATACTTACACCGAGGTGTGCACGCGCGTGTACACATACACATAGCACACATGTACACACACAGGTGTGTATGCATGGACAGGGACACACAGGCAAACACGCATGCGGCTTAATCACACATACACACATGAGCACACAATACATACATGCACTCACATAGCTATATAAGCACACACATGCCCTCAGACACACACGTGCCCTTGTGCGCACATTCATTTACACACACTCAACCTATGCACTTGAGGCTTCAGGCTACACTCCTCTCATAGTCAAGGGGTTCTCCAGAGCTGCGCCATGTTTGGGCCCCATTGTCTAAAGTCAGTGTGGGATGAATGGGGTGGGGCTGCCACTTGCCTATGCCACGGCTTCCGTGAGGGTCTAGAAAAGAGGGGGTCCTCTGGTTTCAGGCATCCCTGCAGGGACAAGGTGAGGCCGGTGGGGGCATCTGTGTGAAGGACAGGGAGCCCCGTCCTTCAAGCACGTGTGCAGCCCAGACCCTCGGCGCAGGTCTCGGAGATTCCGGCCCCTGCTTCTTGCTCTGTCAGCGCCTTTGAGCCCCACTCAGCAGCACAGCTGTGCCCCGAGGGTCAATGCTGCCACTCTTAGGGACTCCAGGGCTGGGCCAAGGGGGAGAAGAAAACTGGATCTCTCCCAGTTGCTTAGAAAGATTGAAGATGTTTCTATGACTTGACTTTCCCCATTTCTAAGGCAAAGGGGCCAGGAGAAGAGCTGGCAATCAATCACAGTGGACGCTTACAAGCGTGTGTTTATACACATACGCTGAGGCATGACGCGGGAACGCACACACATACTTACACCGAGGTGTGCACGCGCGTGTACACATACACATAGCACACATGTACACACACGCAGGTGTGTATGCATGGACAGGGACACACAGGCAAACACGCATGCGGCTTAATCACACATACACACATGAGCACACAATACATACATGCACTCACATAGCTATATAAGCACACACATGCCCTCAGACACACACGTGCCCTTGTGCGCACATTCATTTACACACACTCAACCTATGCACTTGAGGCTTCAGGCTACACTCCTCTCATAGTCACGGCCCTGTTGTTTATTCTAAGCAGATTCTCCTTTTGTAAGGGTGTCCAATTAGGGGTGTGTGTGTCTGTCTGTCTGTCTGTGTGTTTGGTGTGATTTGGCCCAGGCAATGAAACCTCCTAGGAATACCTTTGGTGGTGACATTACGGTACCTAAAGTTTAGGTAATTAGCTTCACATTAAGAGAGCATCATTGCCCTGCAAATATAAAAGGGAGGGAATTGTAAGAAAAAGGTTCCATCTTGAAACAGTTTGGAAGTTTCTTTGGTGAGAGAAAAGAGGTGGGGGTGGGGGAGACAGGATTTGATTTTGACCATTTCAGCCTTAAACAGAGAAGATGCAAGCACATAACGGGGTTATTGATCCATGTATTGGATTTATGCTTACAAGGCTTCAGATATACATGCTGGGTTTGAGGCGGGGGAGCGAGAGTGAGCAGGGTTTGAACAGGGAGGCGTCTGTCCCCGAGTGAGTGTGGGATGGGACGAACGTGGTGGTGCCTGTTGTCTCTTGGTGGCTCTCAGCTGCCGTGTTCCTCTCTGAGTGTGAGCTTCTAGAAGCCCCGAGTGAGGCTCTACAGAGGCACTTTCTTCACCAGACACACTCCATCTCCTTCCTCTGCTGCTCAACCGGAGAAAGCTGCCGTCCTCTGATGAGGGAAGGACAGCTGGCTGGGCTGCACCTTGGAGCAGTTTGTCGGTTCTAGGTCTCCAGCCTGGACCCTGACCGATTTTCAGGGCTGGTTTGGACTCTGGGCAATTTTCGCGTTGTGTGCTGCCCCCACAGAAGCTGCCGCTGCCCTGTCTCTGTCTCCTGAGCCGTCGGCTCTGAAGGATGAGAGCTCTGAGTGGGGCTAAACCACAGAGGGTGTGGCCCTGCCTGCCTCACCCTTCAGAAGAGATCTGGAGTCCTCTGTTCACAAGCCTCAGGCCCTGGCCTGGCCTGGGGAGGCTGATTCCTTCCTGGGGCCTCCTCCTCTTAGCCTGGTCCCCTGGGGAGAATGCCCCGTAAGCCCAGTAGAATCTGGAGTCCTCTGTTCACAAGCCTCAGGCCCTGGCCTGGCCTGGGGAGGCTGATTCCTTCCTGGGGCCTCCTCCTCTTAGCCTGGTCCCCTGGCAGGCAGGGCTCTGGCTCAGTGTGGAGAATGCCCCGTAAGCCCAGTAGCGAGTCTCTGTGTTGAGCGCAGGGAACTGCGTCATCACGGGTGCTGCCAGGAGGGAGGAAAGCACCGAACAGCGTGGCAGCGCGAGCTGGTGCAGGAGACCCTTTTTAAAAACATGTCCTGACTCTTGAGGGATGAGCATGGTGAGCGTTAATCCCACTGACATGGTCGGAAACACAGCTGATTCCCTTCTTCAGTGGGGTGGCTTTCAGACAGCTTAAGTGTGGCCCTGGAAGATGCTTAAAATGAGCCCAGGGTCACAGACAAGCCAAAGGGGTGTACCCCGGGAGTGATTACCTCGTCCTGCTGCTGGAAGTGCCCCCCCAGCTGGTCTGTCGCATGCGGGGCCTGTGGGGCTGCTGCGGCCTGATATCCTGGGGCTGTCTGGGCCTCTCTGGCTCTCTGGACTTCTCTTTCCTTTCCTCAGGGACGGTGATGAGGTCCCCTTCTGGGGCGGAGCAACATCCTCTTCAAAAGCAAAAGGAGAAAAAGCATGAGTGAGAATCAGGATCAGCGAGAAGCAGAGGGAACCTCTTTGCTAACTCCCCGATGAAGGCTCCTGGTGTCTAGAATTGTTTATTCCCCACATTCTCGCATTGGTCTCTCTTTTTTCCAGCCCTGCGAAGGAGCAGAGGCCAGGTGTCTCCCATAGTCAAGGCGGGATTACTTTTGGCCCTTCCTGGGGGAACCTCTAAGAACTGGGAGGAACCGAACAGTGGTTGTTCTTATTCTTGTCCTGCTGATGTACTCCTGAGATAGAAGAAAGGCGAGGGAGGCTGCAAGGTCCTTCCCTAACTGGGGAGACCCAGCCTCCAAACTCATGGGACTACTGGCTGCAGAGTTCAAACCACAAAGCAATTTTTCTAAGCAGACCAGTGATCACACGGCTCCTCTGAGTCGTAAAGCACACACAGCCACTTCCAGACGGTAGAGGGTAACAGCATGGATGATAACACTCCACATTGCACGTCCTGGCCTCCATCTCTCTCTCTTTCATTCTTTCTTCAAGTCAGGGACTACTCTAGGGAGGGTGAAACCCAGTAATCTAAAAGTGATTGAGACCTTGTCTTAATCTCAGAGACAGTGGTCTTTATTTCATGTTCAATGCACTCTTGCTGTTTGTGTTGAAAAGTTGGCTTCACACACAGTCTCAAAGTACCATAAGCCACTTTTTTTTGCAAAGGGAAAAGGTGTCTTTACAATGGAGAAATCTAGCAGACACATCTTTAACCAAATAAAGAAGTTTAACATCACCTATAATGGAGCAAATTATAACAAATGGGATAAATATAAAGGGATATTTATGTCCCTTATGTGATGCACTGGGAAGAACACATAACCAACACAGTATACTTGTCCAAAAGGTTTGATCTGAATCTAATTATGAGGAAACAGATAAACCTAAATTGAGGATAATTCTGTAAAGCAGCTTTTCAAAAATGTCAGTGTCATGAGAAATGAGACTGGGGAAGTGTTCTAGAGAAAAAGATGCTCAAGAGATGTGACAGTTAAATACAATGCATGATTCTGAGTTGAATCCTGGATTGATTGGGAAGAAAACAGCTGTAGGAAATGTTACTGGTATAATTAGAGAAATTGGAATGTGGACTATATGCTAGAAAATAGTATGACATCAACGTTAATTTTCTTGAATGTGATAATTGCACTGTGGTTATGAAGGAGAACATCCTTGCTCTTGGGAGACATATGCTGATAAGGGATGAAACGCACAAAGTCTGCAGTTAAGTCTCAGATGGTTCAGCAATAAAATAAAATATGCATGTGTGTATGTGCATTTATAAAATCTGGCTTCATTTTTATGATATGAGAAGTGAAACAACCCAGGACTAAGCAAGTAAACGGGTCTGTGCAACCTCTGGACAGTGGGATAGTCTTACTTACTAGCTTTGTTTTTTTTTTGCCCCAAGGACCCTTGGATGAGAAAGATTCCCATGGAAATCTTGCCTGTTTGAACCCCCGCATCCCCCCCCCTTTTTTTTAATGCATCTGCTACCCGGTTGAGTTACACACTGAGGAAACATATTAACTAATCAAGAGATCAGGGACTTCTTAGCCCATTTCCTTTGGGCAGGGTAGTAGATCCTCATAGATCTAGAGGATGGACAAGTTCGAGATCCTCGGTCCCCAGTGGACACAATAGCTCAAAACAGGTGGAGGGCTGGTGAGGTGAGCAGCACTGAAGACAAAATTCCCTGGTGTTGCAATCTTCCTGGGGCTCAGGCTGTGCCGAGAACACCGTGGTGCACAGGGGGAAGCTGCTTTCCTACCTGTCTGCTCACAGGGTGATCCTTGCCAGGTTCGGATTTTTCACAAAAAACCTCAAATTCTTTAGGACGATTAACTCTCACATAAGAGATATGGTAAAGAAGCCCCTGCCTCAAAAATCAAAGGATTTGCATTTCCCTAATAATTCGTGATGTTGAGCATCTTTTCATGTGCCCCTTAACCATCTGTATATCTTCTTTGAAGAGATGTCTATCTAAGTCTTCCGTCCAGTTTTTGATTGGGTTGGTTTTTTTTTTTTTTATTTTGAGCTCCATGAACTGAAATAGCTAGTGGGAACCTGCTAAAGTACAGGAAGCTCAGCTCCGTGCCTCGTGATGACCTAGATGGGCAGGATGGGGGGTGGGGGTGGGAAGGAGGTCCAAGAGGGACAGGATGTATGTATGCACATAGTTGATTTACTTCATTTGTATACCAGAAATGAACACAACATCGTAAAGCAATTATACTCCATTAAAAAAATGAAGTTGAAAATTAAAAATAAAGAAACTACATAAATACTATTACTGTCTTATACTTAAAATGACAAAATAAAATTATATCATAATACACAATTAAAAAAATCGAAGGACCATTCTCAAAACTGAAATGTGTCAAGAATGTCATGACCTGGGTTCATTGCTTTGTTTGTTCTGAGAGGCAGTGCAGTGTGATAAGAGTACAGATTCTGAGATTGGAAGGCAGCTCCGAGCCCAGTGAGGCCACTTGTAATTACGTGACCTCAGACAAGTTCCTCATCTCCCAGGGCTTCAGATATCTGATCTGTGAAACGAGGGTAGGACTGTTGTGAGGAGCAAATGAGATGAGATGTGTTAAAAATTGAGCAGCGTGCCTGGCACTGAGGAGGAACTTAAATATTAATGTGTCTCCTTCTACTTCTGATTACCACCAGTCAGAGATCACCTAGCATCTGTGATCCTGTCATCTTGCCCTTGGGGAAGAAGGTTGTTTTCTAAAAGTGAAGAGCTTTCTAAATATGGCCCATTATTTTCAACCTATCCACACCTAAAAGTATACACTTTGATATATACATAATTTCAGATGTTCATATGATGTTTTGAAAAAATGAAGACTTTTATTGATATTATGAACTTTTAATGAATAAACACATATTCCTAAGTAGATTAGGTTAAAAAGATAGGAGAAACTATAGAGTGTGCAGCAAATGTTTAGTAATTTGGTGCTGTTTTACATCTGCAATCAGAATATATTCCTGTGTGCTAAGTCTCTTCAGTCGTGTCCGACTCTTTGCAGCCCCATGGACTGTAGCCTACCAGGCTCCTCTGTCCATGGGATTCTCCAGGCAAGAATACTGGAGTGGGTTACCATTTCCTTCTCCAGGGGATCTTCCTGACAGAGGGATCAAATTCACGTCTCTTATGCTCCTGCATTGGCAGGCAGGTTCTTTACCCCTAGTGACACCTGGGAAGCCCATAGAATACATTCTTAGGGGGTTTGATTAGTAACTAGTGAGCTAGATACGAAGTTGTTTTCACTGTGGCACTTTGGTTACGGCAGCTGCTGTCTGAGCAGAAGCACCTTCAAGCAGCTGGGGAGGAGCTTTGTCCCTTCTAGCCTCGTTCTTCATGGCTGGGGACCCTGACATGTCTTGCCTCGCTCCCCTCTGGAGCAGGATCTTGTGGGATGCTGGAGGGAAGGAGTAGCTACCTTGAGGCGAGAGTGTGTCCCTGTCTGTGTCCACTGGGAGATGCACTCTTAACGCCCTTGACCTTCTTAGGGACACCTGCTTCAGGGGAGGTCTCCATGACGGCCCATGTTCTTCTGTTTCTGGTGCTGACTCAGAGTGTGGAGGACCTAGGAGACAGACAGAAAGCCAAGTTGTGGTAGACATCTGTGGGTTTTGCTAGTTGTCTCTTCTTTTTTTAAAGCTATTTATTTTTTAATGCTTTTTATTTCATTTATTTTTCTTAATCCCCCGAGAAGGGATTGAACCCATGCTCCCAGCAGGGGAAGCACAGAGTCCTAACCACTGGGCCATCAGGAAATTCCCAAACATTCAGCCTTTAAAAAATTTTTCTTTTGGTCGCAGTATGGGGGATCTTAGTTCCCCGACCAAGGATCAAGCCTGCACCTCCTACATTGGAAGCATGGAGTCTTAACCACTGGACTGCCAGGGAAGTCCCTGTCTCTTCTTTTTGGGGACCCATCTCGTTGTCACTCACCCCATGTGGTTTTGCGTGGTCTGTTCTCTGACTCCAGGGATGGGCATGTGACTGAAGCCTGGCTATGAGGGCATCTCACTGTCTTAGCCACAGTAATTGAGTCCAGGGAGGATGCAGAGCCCAAGCCTGGCCAATCAGAGGCAGTTTTGGTACTTTTTTCAAGAGCTTTTAAGAGGTATATCCATTCTGCTGGGATTAACAAGCTATCATGGATTTGCAAAAGGCCATCTTTACATGGGGACAACCTACCTGAGAGGAAAGACTAACAGAGCCGAGAGACTCAGACAAATAGTGTCTAGAGGACATTTTCTGAAACGTGGGTCCAGTTTAGCCTGGAGTTGGCCGATCCTTGACCTATCCAATTACATGAGCGAATACATTTCGTTTTTTTTTTTGCTTAAGAGAGTTTGAGTTAGGCTTCTAACAGTTGTTACTGAAAGAGTCCTCACAGACAAACACAAGGAAGAGGAACTCAATGTGTTCACTTTCCTGGTTTTCATTTGGCAGTGTGCTAACAAGCTCAATGGGTCTAATAGGCTTAAGAATCTGGTGCATGATGTCCTGGTGACCTTCCTTCCAGGGTCATCATGGGAGATAATCAGGATTCAGCTGAATCCTGCTGATAGTCCTGTCTTTGCGTGCATTAAGCATGTTCTTTTAAAAGCTGGAGCACAGTTGGTTTACAGTGCTGTGTCAGTTTCAGGCGTACAGCAGAGTGAAGCAGTGAGCATGTCTTTTTATTCCAGTGTTTTGACTTCTGGGACTTTACTGACCCTGGGGAGACTGTCTCTCCCAGGGCTAGCCAGGCCCTTGAGACAGTAAAGGACCACCTGCAAGTGTATATTTCATATGGAAACTAACCAGTCTCGAGCCCCTCCCCGCTCTCCCCAGGCATGACCTCCTTTAAACAGCTCTTACACTTCCAGGCCAGTATGCTGTTGTTTCGTTGCCAAGTCATGTCTGACTCTTTGCAGCCCCATGGACCGTAGCATGCCAGGCCTGCCTGTCTCTGCCAGGCCACTATCACCCTGCCTTTATGACCCCAGACCCAGGTACCCAACAACCAGGGACAGCCCTGATGCAGAGTCTGCTCAAATTATTCCAACTAGCCAATGACAAACCTGCTTAGCCTGCTTGCCCTGCCTGGCTCACTTCCTCCTGTCAAAAATGGAATAAAGACTCTTGCCCATTCCCTGTCCCCCCCTCCACCCCCCTGTGCCCCTTGCCAGCACTTCTGCCTCCTAACTGACCCTGGCTTTTTCCATGTGGCCCTGTGGGACGTGGCATGCCCTCTGCTCTTGGGAACTGTGAGTAACAGACTATCTTTTCACTGGCAAGTGTCTCCCGATCTATTGGCCTTAGAGACCTGAACAATAATTTTTAAAACACTGCATTTAAAAATACTGTAATGCTGTGTGTGTGTGTATGTTTTAAGGAGCTGCGTAATTTTTTGGAAAGGTAAAATCTACATATAGTGAAAGCAAACAGATCCTAAGTAAACAGTTCAATGAGTTTTGATAAATGTATATATCCATGCAACCAACTAAGATGTAGAACATTTTCATCATCTCAGAAAGTTCCTTTATGCATCCTGCCATTGACCAGTCTTTTAAGCTTAACAGTTATGACATTCTTCATAGTGAGAATTCCAAACAGCTGGAGAGTGAAAACTGAGAAATCAGTGGCAGTTTTTGCTGAAGTTTCTAGAAAGCTCAGAACTAGGACTTCTCAAAATTGGAGTCAGCTGTTTAGAGAGTTGCCTTTTGCCTCAGGCTGCCCAGAAAATTCCCAGGGGGCAATAATGTGTCTTTGGCCAGGGTGTTGTGGAATGGCTTGGGAAGATCAGAAAGAGTTTCTGCTTGTGTGCAGGGTGAACTGAGTGGCCACTCAGAAGCCTCTTTCTGAGTCTTAGGTTGGAATTGATCTCTCCTTACCCACACTCTCTTAGCGCTTTGCTTAGAAGCGCAAAATCCCTTTCCTGACAAGGATTGTAGAAATCATCTAATGTTACACAATAATGTTACCTAATTCACAGTCAGGAAAATGGAACAGACTCAGAGACACAGAGAACAGACTGATGGTTGCCAAGGAGGAGAAGGGGTGGGTAGGGATGGGGCAGGAGCCTGGAGTTAGCAGATGCAGACAGGAATATATGGAATGAATACAAACAAGATCCTACTGTAAGGCACAGGAACTGTGGTCCATATCCTGTGATAAACCATAATGGAAAAGAACATGAAAAAGAATGTCTCTCTCTTTATATATATGTATAACTGAATCACTTTGCTGTACAGTAGAAATTAACACAACATTGTAAATCAACTATACTTCAATAGAATAAACTACAAAAAAATCAAGAAAGTGGCTCTTCAGACAAACTTTGATCTTTCATAAAACCAAAATCCAAAGATCCAAATATCCTTTTTATCCTGGCTGCCAGGTAGCTCATCTAAATCCAGTGCTTAACAAAGGCAATGAATTCATTGCAGATGTCTGATAAAATTTATTTCTCTACTCTTTTTAACCAGGTTTTTATTTTTTCAATTTCAATTATATATGGAATTTACTTGTTGTAAGCTGCCTGAAAATTCTTGCACCTTTATAACATCTATGGTGCCCTGGACTTATTTATGTGTATGGCTGACTGCCATTTTCTTCCACAGTTTAGCAAAATGCTCTGCTTAATGAAGGACTCAATGCATATTTTAAAAACTGAGTTGAATATGACCAGCAGAGACCTACTTGCAGATTTATCCTTTTGTTTCTTTTTTAAAAAGTTCTCTTAAGGGGGCGACCCTGGAGAGGGTCAGCGGTGATTTAGGAGAGGGCTGCATGAGCAGGTCCCACACCCCAGTCCTTCCTGGCCTGCCTCTTTCCCTCAGGAGACCCGTTCACAGGGACCCACCTCTTCTTCGTGCCTTGCCTTTTGGTGGGTGTTGGCTGTGATAATGAATCTCCACAGGGAAGATGAAGAGCTCTGTTGGGGGCTCACTGGCTTTAAGTTGACTTCTCAGGGGGTCCAGGACTCTGGGTGGTTCTTCTGAGATAAGGGGTAATTTCAAAGCTTTAGGTACCTGGAGAAAATGTAAAAACAAACAGACCCCAATATGGCAGGTATCTAAATCCTGCTGCCTGCAAGGGATAAATGATATGGTATCTTATTGACTCTCCAGCATCAGAAGCTGCTGGGCGTGATGTTGCTTCTGAATCCAGGGCTAAGAAGGAAAACCGACCAACCTGGAACCCGGAAAACTCACTAGAGTGGGGCTGCTTTGGTTGGCGGGGACTCGGTTATGTCCCCATTAACCCAGTCTGCAGCTGCTCTGAGAAGTATAAACGTGGTAAATTCAAGAGCCTTTGTGAGGAAATACAGTCTTTCTTTCTCTTGTAGTCCGGAAACTGACTGGCTCATGTCAACTGAGCCAGGTTGACATGTTGGAGCTGAGATTTCCATGTCTAGGGAGGGAAAAATCTTGACTTGTGTCGTTATGGGGAAAAAGGCAAGGCTCAGACTGTGGACTTTGCAACCTTTCAGGTAAGAAAGGGCAGAAATAGGAATACACATTTGTATGTTTGCTTGCCTTGTGTAATCAAGCCTCAATTTCTCTTTCTGTAAAATGGGGGTAATCATACTGCCCACCTCATAAGTTGCCATGAGGATTAAATGAGTTAATTATACATAGTTACAATAGTGTTTGGAACTAGGCTTATTTCTATATTTCTTTGAGAGAAGACTTTTCTGTCATTAGAGTTTAATACTCAATACCTAGGTGTCTCCACACATCTGAAATATGAAGATAGCTAGAAAAAAATCACTGTGTGTCAGGATCAACCACAGCTTTAACCCAGTTTCCTTTGTGTCCAAAAAGCTCCAAAACATCGGTGTGTGTCTGCACGGTGGGGGTGGGGGTGGGTGGGGGAGAGAGAGGCATGAGGGGTGGTACTTAGAGCTTCCTGTTTCCAATTATTCTGAAGTTGCTAAAAATTTTTCCTTTTAGTTTGCAGCTTTTAACATATGAACTCGGCTCTATGAAATGTATATGTGTGCTGGGTTTCAGGGAGTTCAATTTCACAGGAGGAAAAATAAAAACGTTCCTCACTTTTTAGTGTTCAAAAAGAAAAAAAGATCAGACACACACACAAGCATCCTACGTGTTTAGAGTTGAATGAGGAGGAAATTCACCCAGCGACATTCAGGGTAATATGTACAGTTTTGAGACGTTAAGAAATGATTAATCCAACGCATGCATATAGGATCTTTCTGTTTCTAGAGATCTCTACTCTCCACGTGCCAGCTGCCCACCAACTGCCCTTTTCTGAATACCGACCTTTGTATTTTGTTTGACAAGGTTTGCATTGGGAAATCTATGTGGAAACTCAAATGGTTTGTGTGAGATATGGCTGACAAGCCAAGCCTTAAATTTCTCCATTGTAATTAAAAATTTACAGAGTTTCAATATAGTGTAAAATATTGCTTTCCTCTGCTAAATCATATACATGGTATAATGGGAGCGATTCCTATCCTCTGAGCCTGGCTCAGTTCTGGGATGATCTGTGTGTGAGACTGAGGACTTTCCCTGGGCCTGGGTGACCCTGGCAGGTCAGGCCTGCTGTTTACTCATGGTCCAAAGGAACCTGAAAAGCCAGAGGTCCTTCTGGTGTGAATGGAAAGATTTAGATCACCTTAGATATAGGGAACCTGAGAAAATCCTGAGCAGACGGAAAACAACCTCCTCACTGGCAGTGGGGCCACCTGGCGTGCCCACGACTCCACAGGGCCACTTCAGATGGCATGAATCCCCACTGACGTCGCTGTTGGTCCCTATTGGACACAAGGTACTTTCACAGAAGTGCTTCATTTCCTTTTATCTTCCATCAGCCCTGTGAGGCTGGCATCAGCCCTGCGCACAGAGGAGGAGCCGCTCAGCGGTGAACCACTCGCCCAAGTCACACAGCTGCCACGATGGCTGAACATTCCAGACCCCCTGCTCAGCCCCACTCGGCACAAGTTCAGGAAGATGTACCTGAAACTTCTGAAGGGGGAAGCCCCTTCACTCTCACCTGAGACTTCCAAAAGGGTTGATAAACCTGCAAAATTTATCCTACATTTTCAAAGGTGACAGACCCTCAGTGAAGCAAACCCCTTGCCAGGTTCCAAGCATTTTGAGTTTGAAGTGGGTCAGCTGCTGACAAACTCAAATTCTGTCCTTACATGCTTACAGATAACCCTCAGCCCCTTAACAGAGTAAAGGGTTCTGTTGCCATCAGTTGGTAACACCACCTGCTTTAATGGGGGGGCAGCTGAAATTCCTCTTATTCACTGTTTTCAACATTTAGTGAATTACTACCTCTTTAGTCCAACTCCACACAGTGAGCTCAGAAGCAAGTAAGGCCAGTTCTTGGAGACATCTCTCTGAGTCACCTAGTTCCTAGACTGAGGTTAATCTTTCAAGCATGCGCGTGCACACACACACACACACACACACACACACACCTTTTTCTTCTTCACATCCCCAGGCATGTTTTTTTCTGAGCCAGCAGCAGGTGCTACAGGAGGGAAAAGACATCGTTTGGCAGGAGGCTCCTTGAACAAGTGGCTGCTTCTGCCCTGGTGCAGAGTCATAGTCCCTTGTTTGTCTGTAGAGATAGGATGGCAACAAGAGCTTATTAGTTGCAGGCATGGGGATGGACAGTTGACTTCCAACTTTAATCACCTTTGGGTTAATGGGAAGAGAGGCAAGGAGATGCTGAGACACCTGGAGAGCCACGCTGGCTGAGGCAGCTTCAGGGAGCCCTAATCTCATGATCTGGGTTGGGTTCTTGATGGCTGAGTCAGGTGATGGAGAGACTAATAATGATCTTAATAGTTACTACGTGTTAAGTGCTGACTGTGGGACAAGAATTGTGCAAAGTATTTTACATGCATTAACTGAATCCCCATAATAGCCATAGTGTTAATAATACTACGTTAGTCACTCAGTCATGTCCGACTCTCTGCAACCTCACGGTTCTGCAGCCTCCCAGGTTCCTCTGTCCATGGAATTCTCCAGGCAAGAATACTGGAGTGGTTGCCATTCCCTTGTCCAGGGGATTTTCCTGGAAAACTCAGGTTTCCTGCATTGCAGGCAGATCCTTGACCGTCTGAGCAAACAGGGAAGTCCATAATAGCCTTATGGAGGTATTATTATTATTTCCATTCCACATATGAGAAAATGGAACCTCAGTGAGATTAAATAACTTGCCCAAGGTCACAGTAAGTAAGTGGGGGTCATTTGAGTGCAGGCAGTCTGATTGTGGAATGTGTGCGGTTGAGGACTAGTCTCATCCCCACCTCTGGCTGGACTTCGCTGGTTATTTTCTAAGGTGAGTGGCATGAGGAAGTGACACTCAGCATGCCCAGTCTTCTCTGCAGGATTGGGTTTACCCAGATCAACAAGCAAGGCATTCGGCTTCTTACCGCTGAGTTCTGCCTTCCTGTGGGGGAAGGTGCCTCCGTAGTAGAATGTCGTGTGGGATTTGTCATGCAGGAGCCAAGAGTGATCGAAGAGGGCATGCCCGAGGGTCCTCCTGGAGGTTTGCTGTGCTTTTTCGTGGTGGCTTTCTTTTGAAGCATGGATACAACAGTGATTGTCTTTTGACGTGTCCTAGGGAACGACAGATATGCATTCCTGAAAACAGGTTTTGCAAAGGAACAGAGCCGGTTCCTCTAACAGTCAGACCTTGTGGCTAGACTGTGATTCCAAGGATGAAATCTTCTTAGCAGTCTGGGAAGAAAAACACGGTCATCGTGGCCAGATCTCTAATGCTGTTTATTGCATTCATAAAATGTTTTATTGTGGGTGATAGAAAGAAATGACATTTAGCCATGCTTGACATATAGTGCTTTCTTGAAAAAACTGAAATATCAAAAGGAAGCACTAGTATCATTGTCTTTTCTTTTTGGCAGACTTCTTTATCACAGTAAAATACACATAACATAAATGTATTATTTTAACCATTTTAAAGTGTATAGTTCTGTGGCATCAAGTATATTCGTGCTAGTTTTTGTCCATCATAAAATGTCTCTTCCCTCCCACTAGGTGGTACTTCTCTTCTCCCCCTTTCCTGTCTCATTGGCACATGACCTTCTTGTAAGTCATGTGTGTTTATTCAAGATAGGAGCATGCATTATCTATGCTTCTCTGTTGCACAGACACACACACACAGGCCTTAGAGTTTCAAAAGTTTATTTTTTCCCCTTTGGCTGCACTGAGTTTTAGCTGTGCCGTGTGAACTCTTAATTGCAGCATGTGAGATTTAGTTCCCTGACCAGTGGTTGAACCTGGGCTCCCTGCATTGGGAGCACAGGTTTTTTAGCCACTGAAGCATTAGGGAAGTCCCTAAAAAGCATTTTTACTGATTTAATCCTCACAGCAACCTTGAGAGGTGTGTGTGATAAGAGGTGTATATATATATATATGAAAGAGGTAATTCAGGCTCAAAGTTAAGTTTCTTGGACGTGCTCATCATAGCTAGCAAGATACAGGACTCAAAACAAGGCTTTTCCACCTCTAAGACCAACAGCTCTTTTTTTCTACAGATGACTAGAGACACCTAGATGGAGTGAAGAGTGTAGGGAGGATCTGTGGTTAAGTGAGGTTGGAAAACCACAAGTTAAAGTTAAACTACAGAACTTCTCAAATGGCCCATGGTCAAATGTGCACTGTGCCTCTCTGGGAGGAGAATGTGGTGCACAGCATTTCCCAATTTTTTTTTTCCCCCATGGAGCATCTGGCAGTGCTAGGGTTCTACCAGTTGCACCTTGAAAAACAGGGATCAATAGGCTCAAAGTATTAACACTTTTCTCTTCTCTGGAGGACCCCAAGAAATGGTGACGGGAGAGAGTATCATCTCCAAAGTCAAGAAGAACAATGACAGAAAGTGAAAGTGAAGTCGCTCAGTCATGTCCGGCTCTTTGTGACCCCATGGACTGTAGCCTGCCAGGCTCCTCTGTCCATGCGGATTCTCCAGGCAAGAGTACTGCAGTGGGTTGCCATTTCTTCCTCTAGGGGACCTTCCCGACCCAGGGATTGAACCTGGGTCTCCCGCATTACAGGCAGACTCTTTACCCTCTGAGCCACCAGGGAAAGGGGACCCCCCATTAGAAATGGTACCTCTGTCTGGGTTTCATCTTCCTGCCAGGGCTGCTTCCTGAGTGGTGGCAAGCGAGTCCCCTGGCTGCCACGGTCCTTGGCTACAGAGCCCTGGTCCACTTGTCCACCAGCCCCAGCTTTCCCTTCACGCAGGTCCTGCTGACCTGCAAAGGTGAGCAGTGGGTCAACTCTGCAAGCCCAAATACGAGAATGACACTGTTAGCTGCTTCCAAACTACCTCCCTCTTGCTTCTCTGAGCAACAGTGTTGATCAAGGCCCTTGTTCCTCCGCCCTCCTGATTTCCGTTTTTCTGCTAGTGTCTCTATGGAAGTGGCAGTCGGCTCAGTGGGACAGACTGTCCTGGGAGTCAGGAGCTCAAGGCTGAGTCATTTCTTGGACTCAGTTTCCTCATCGGTAAAATGTGGACACGGATTTCTTGCCCTTCCTTCCCTGCAGAGTTGTCTGGAGCTCAGACAAGATCATGCATGTGACAGCACTTTGTCAACTGTGAGGGGCTAGGGGGTGACTGAGGTGTGATGATGGCGGGATGCCCTGCAGCTCTGCTCTCTTGTCACTGAGATGCTCAGTCTGAAGCACTCGATTTCTGGGACTGTCTACTGGTTGTTTCCTTGGGGAAAAACTCAGACAATCCTCTGCGGTGGGATGGCTGCTTAGCAAGCTGCACTTACCCTGTCTGTGCAACCCCCAGGAAGGATCTGAGTCAACAGATGACTCCAGCATAGTGAACAAATCTTTCGTCGATGGTTTAAAGGGTCCTGCAGCTATTTTCATCACTTACTCAAGGTAGATTTATTGCTGAAATAGTCTGGAAAACCTTCCTTGTTTGGAGCTGCTGTAGCAACACCTTGAATCTCTGCTTGTGGCTCTGAGGCATGATGTGGAGTTGTCTTTCATCCAGGGGCTCTGGAAGCCCTTAGGGGCTCTGTGTGTGTTGGAGCACTGGACTTCTGGAGGCTCGCGGCCAGCCGCACCGTCCCCCCTGTCCCCCAACCTTCGTCATTCCCTACGTCATCCTCATCCTCGGTGTCACTGGGTCAACAGCCAAGTGTCCGCCTATGGAGCGCTCCCTCCTTGCAGCTCCCCTTCCTCTGCCCATTGGCTCCTGAGGACGACCTTGGCTCAGAGCTGATGCTGAGAGTGTTGGTGGAGCAGATGCAGACTCATGCTTAGGTCCAGGGGCTCTGCTCAGTTTAGTGACCCAGGGAGCCCCTTGATCTGCCTGTCCCCAGGAAGACCACAGCTGCATATAGGATGCAGCACTAACGACCTTTTTGTGTGTTTAGAATGATCCTTTGAGGTCAAGCCAGGCTGCAGGGCCATCCTTCCTGGTCAGATGCACTTGGTAGCCTCTATCAGCATTTCAAAGGCTATAGGAAGTGAAACTCTGGCCAAATGGCCGCTGACCTGCTGAATGGTCTTACATGGCAGACAGCCTAAGTTGGGGCAGGGTGTTTTGCGTAGGAGGATACAGAGAGGGATTCTTTCTTGTGGCTGTACACCAGGTGATATTGAATATATGACTCCATCTATGTGAGGGAAACCAAGATTTTTCTCAGCAAATGTCAGCTCTGGCTCACTTGTCTATGCTTAAGAGAAACAGGTTAGCAAGCAAGGTATGGGAAGTTTCAGTTTTGAAGGGAGACCACACCTTGTGCTCTATCTCAAATATGGGTTCAGATTACTCAAACAGTGTGAATGGGGGTAATAATTTAGAACTCTTAGACAGCCTTGTACCTACGTCTTCTCCTATGATTTTTCACAACAATCCAGAGAAGGTGGAATGCAGATAACATTACTCCCATTTTACAGATAAGCAAACTAAGGGTGCATGAAGCGTAAGTAACTTAGCCAACATCACACTGTTGGGGGATCTGAGATTTGTGGCCAGAGCTTTTGTTACTTTCTCCAGTACAGTGTCTGGTAAGGAGAAGGAGGCCAAGAGGAGATAAAATTAAAACCTATAAAACCATCAGTCAAAAAAAAAACAAAAAACCATCAGTCAGGGTTCGAGATACAGTCTGAGCTATTTTTCCTTCTTTACAAGTTGATTTTTGGTCCTTGTGATCATAGGCAATTGGGTGTTACAATTATGTTTAAAAAACACAAGTTAGGGATGTCTATAACTAGCATTTATTGAGCACTTGCTGTGTGCCAGATACTGCATATCCCATTTGAGTCCCAAGGTGGGTATGGTCATCTTCATTTTATAAATGAAGAAACTGAGGCCCATACTGTTCATGGGGTTCTCAAGGCAAAAGTACATAGCTTTTCTTCCAAGGAGCAAGAGTCTTTTAATTTCATGGTTGCAGTCACCATCTGCACTGATTTTGGAACCCAAGAAAATAAAGTCTGTCACTGATTCCATTTGCCATGAAGTGATGGGACCAGATGCCATGATCTTAGTTTTTGGAATGTTGAAATTTAAGCCTGCTTTTTCACTCTCCCCTTTCACTTTCATCAAGAGGCTCTTTAGTTCCTCTTTGCTTTCTGCCATAAGGGTGCTGTAATCTGCATATTTGAGGTTATTGATATTTCTTCTGAGAGTGAAAAAGGCGTAAGAAATAATCTAAAATTTAAACTCTAGACATGCACTGTCCAGTACACTAGCCACATGTAGCTATTTAGATGTAAATTAATTAAAAGTAAATAAAAATTTAAAACTCATTTTCACAGTCACACTATCTACTTTTTAAGTGCTCAATAGCCACATGTGGCAGGTGGCTACTATATTGGAACTGGACATTATATATATATACACACATATGTATACACATGTGTATATATATATATACACACATGTGTGTATATATACATATATATATGCAAAACATTCCATCATTGTAGAAAGTACTATTGGATGGTGCTGGTCTAGACTAACTCCCTCATTTTATAGATGAGGACAAGGAAACCAAGACTCTCTAGACCTTATTTTGAAAAACTTCATTTTATGCTGTTAAAAATCCCAATATTTGAGATCTGATTTGATAAAATCAACATGTACCTTGTCCAAAAGATTGTCCTTGTTGAATCCAAAATGGAGGGAAGACAGGCAGAAGATGGTACTTGGGAGGTACACCTGAAAGGTCCTGCTGTGGCCTGAGATTCTTTGGTACATTAAGTTGACTGTCCTGAAGCAGCACAGAATCCTTGATGTATCCTGAAGAGTAGGTCAGGAGTTATTGGTAGAAACAATGGTTGTCAGTCTAGAGGTCTTGATGGTAACTACAAGTTTCCCCACTTGCATTAGTCTTAGCTTCGGACATTGCCCATTAAGAAAGACAATTAGAAGATGGAACAGATTAAAAAATCAGATAGAACCCATAAAGGGTTCTCTAGCCAATATCTTGGGTGCCTCTGGTTCTGTACCACATATATGCTTCTTCCACTCCACCATTCCCAGGAATTGGGAACATGGTGGAAGGAACATGGCTGTTTCTTTGGGGTTGGGTAAAAGGCTCCTCCTGCCTTAGATGAAGTCTCAAGGTTCCTCCTGGATGTACCTGGCTTGCTTCTGTAACCCCTGTGATTCTCAATCCATTCTACAAGTATTTATTGAGGGCTTACCAATGGTCCCACTTCTCTGCTAGGTAGGAACTATGGCAAGAGGCCCAAGAATGCACAGACCCAGGAACCTTTCCTTAAACCACACCTTGTAGCCACATGACTTTCACAGAAGGGTCTGAGACGTCTTTTGATGTTAAGAAGGGCTTTCCTCCTTGAAGATTTTGGGCCTGGGCTATGGGGCAGTGGTCTGCCCTGCCCTCTGCTGCACCTAACAATAAACATATCTCTGGTTAAGAGGCTCTTTCTCACAAGCGGTAGATGAATGGAACTGCCTGGAACCGTGGGCCGGCCATGAAGGGTAAACCAATTACTGGGCAAGCCCACAACTCTCATTTTCCTTCAAGTCATCACTTAACTGGGGAGAGAGTTGTTTTCTCTTTTCTCCCAAAGTAAACCTATAAAGCAAGAGAGAGTCAGTCTTCCCCTGGTCCTGTCTGTTCGTTGATGCTGAAGAGATGGCAACCAGCCAGGCAGGCTTTGGCAGATCCTTCTGCTCACCCTTGTCTTCCCCAATAGGTTTGCCAAATACAATATGGGATGTCCAGTTTAAGTTGAATTTCAGATAAACAACGAATGCCATTTTTTAAAAGTAGGAATATGTACAAGTATTCTGAGTTTAACTTTTTTCTTTTTTTGGTTAGTGCCTCTGTGTGTGTTTGTATGTGCACATGTGTAGGTACTGCACTGGCATTTCTAATTCCCAGCCACTGCCTGCTTTTATTTTCAAGCCTTCACAGAGTGCGTTTGGGGTGTCTGTTCAGCAGCAGGGTGTCTGGTGGGTAGTGCTGGAGAGCCACCATCTTCGAGGAGAAAGTCTAACATTTCTACCTCCTAGGGGATCTGAGGTTCCCTCTGAAGGGGAAGCAGTGGTGTTGGGAAGATTGTGGTGTCGGAGGCGTGGGCAGGACCTGGCTTCCGGTCTCAGCACTGCTTTTGGCTGAATGACCTTGGACATATTACTCTTTTTCCTGCTCTTGTAAAAGATCGAGATTGAACTGGAGGACATGGAGTCTCTGAGTGTGTAGGCCTGGGAAGCGTGTTTTGCTCCGGATGAGGGGCCTGAGGCTGCTGAGGGGCGCTAGAGGGAAGCCAAGACTTCAGGCTGCCATCCCTCCGCAAATGTAGGAGAGGCGAAAGGTGTGATGGTTGCTTGCAGGCTAACAAGATCGAGCACCTTTAACACAGAATTGGGCCTGAAATTCTGATGCTTCAGACACTCATGGAAAACACACGCTCGCACCAGAACGCGGGGTGGGGCAGCTCAGGGCACACCTCTTCCCACGTCGCCACTGACCTGCACATTGGAGCTTGTATATGGTGCCAGGGGGCCACGTCCGCAAGAGGCCGCGGAGGTATCTCTTGGCCGAGTAACCAGGTCGGATCTGCCGCAGGCCCTGGCTCTCTGGTTGGCTTCGGAAGTGAAGGTACGGCTGCCAGGCTCTGTCCTGCTCTCTCTGTGGGGACACCAGTCAGGAAACAGCAGGGCTGCTGAGCCCGGAGCCCCCCAGTGATACAGGCTGGCTAGCACAACCATCCTCATCAGTAATCCGGGAGGCTCCTGATAGATGCTGGAAGACACCGGAAATGGATGCCACGGCCAACAGACATAAACCAAGAGCCCAAGGAGCGAAGCTCTGGAAGTCTCCTGTGGATTTGCAGTTGGAAGGAGAAGGAGAAATGAGAACTACCAGACCCCGTCTTGAGACAGAGCATCAGAAAAGGATAAAGAGCCTCAAAGGAAAACAGAGTATTTAGTTTAGCCTGTGGACATCAGTACCTTAAAAGTAGCTCTGTATGGCCGTGGGAAAGACAGCTTGACAAGTCAGTGTTAGCATTCAATGTTTGCCGTATGAGTAATGGGACACACAAGCTCTGTCCGTGTGCAAGGGGAGCACTGCAGTTTGAAAATATCTGGCTCGGCAGCATTTCATTTCAGCCAGGGAGAAGTTTCTGGGTACCTACCTGCCAAAGGCACTGTAAGTCATCATGGCAGATAAATGTGAACAATAACATCTTACATTTGGCTAGGTAGCACTTTATATAAATATAAATAACTTTTACCTCATTATAATCCTTTAAGGTAGATGAGTTAATATCATAACCACTAAGATGAGGCAGAAACTCCCTCAAACAGAAGAATAGCAAACATGTGGTACTTGTGTTGATATCTCTTTTCATCCCCGTGGTGCCTGGCAGACATCACCAATCACAGCACTCTTGACTGATGAACTGATTGTGATCTCAGCATCCTTCTCTTTTAAAAACTGAGGCATAATTTTTATTTATTTATTGTATGATTTTTTTCCATTTATTTTTATTAGTTGGGGGCTAATTACTTTACAATATTGTAGTGGTTTTTGCCATACATTGACATGAATCAGCCACGGATTTACATGTGTTCCCCATCCCGATCCCCCCTCCCGCCTCCCTTTCCATCCCATCCCTCTGGGTCTTCCCAGTGCACCAGCCCTGAACACTTGTCTCATGCATCCAACCTGGGCTGGTGGTCTGTTTCACCCTTGATAGTATACTTGTTTCAATGCTGTTCTCTCAGAACATCCCACCCTCGCCTTCTCCTATAGAGTCCCAAAATCTGTTCTGTACATCTGTGTCTCTTTTTCTGTTTTGCATATAGGGTTATCGTTACCATCTTTTAAAATTCCATATATATGCGTTAGTATACTGTAATAATTTATATTTAATAATATGCACAGAGCTTAAATATTCAATTTAATAAAACCTGACAATTCAATTATACACCTTTGTAGCCACCACACAAAATAAAATATAGAACACTTTAATCAGCCCAGAAAATTCCCTCATGCCACTCTCTAGTCAATCTCTCCATACACACCAGGTAATTCCCATTCTTAGGTGTGGTTAGTAAGATACTGGCCTGAGTTTCTTCGTCATATCCTGGCAAATTTACCAGTGAAGGTTTATAGTTTAACAAAAAAAGAGAAAGGAAACAAGAAGAATATGGTCATCTAAAACCTGATTGATGGGTGAGAGGGAGGCTTTAGGATTTGGGTGCTGGCCCTGCTACACAAAGGTGCGGTTTGCTCGCATTCTGATTGATTCAGGAGATGGAAATGCCACAGAGTGGGCGCCCACAGCCATCGCTGAGGCTTCAGGACCATCAGGGACTTCTCTTTAGCTTAAGAGAGGGCTGGAATGCCAAAGTCCATGAAATGAAGGAATTCCTCTGCTGGGAAGAGATAAACAGGTATCTAAGGCCTTCATTCATTCATTCACTTATCAAGCAATTTTAATGCCAGGCACTGGAGAAAAAGCAACAAAAAAAGCAGATTGATAACTAATAAGTAAATTCAGTAAAAGGTGAAAGAAAGCATGGCTTATTATTCAATTGGCTCTATTTTCTTGGAACTTGTTAATTAAATGAATGCATGGAATCCAAGCACAGAACATTAACTGGTCCTTGATGTCTAGAAAGTTTATATGGCAAAAAACGAGTTTACTTCAAGTGCAAACAGAGCCTGAAAAATTCAGCCCCACATGGATCTTGAGGCTTTTTCCAAAGAACATGAGAGGGTGAGTTGTAGGGAGGGCAGTGAACACAAAATGACTTGAGTTCTTTCACCCACTCCATTTTTTTTCATTCGTCATGTAGTAAGAATTTGTTGAGCACCTTCTATGTGCCAGGCACTGTGTTAAGCCCTGTAATATGGAGCCATCATAATAAGGCCTTTCCTGGATGAACTGGAACTTCATTTCCTCCCATAAATCTTTGCTTTCAATGATTCTCCTCTAAATGTGATACGACCAAGGCTCCTCTGAGATGCTGTGGCCCTGGGCAAATGGGCATGATGCACTGTCTGAAGTGGACAAGAGCTCCTTGTTTTTCAGCAGTGTGCATTTCTGAAGTTCCTGCTTGGTTCTGGAGCTTTACTGGGCTGCTTGCTCAATGGGGCAGAGATTTAGGAAATTCCTTACCCTGGAATTTGGCACATCTTGGTACATTTTTGCTTCAAGTTAGAAGGCTAATCTTGGCCTCTGTGTTCATTTCCTATTGGTGCTGTAACAGATTACCACACATTCAGCGGCTTTCTTTTTAAATTATTATTATTTTTTTGGCCATGCCACTTGGCTTGCAGGATCTTAGTTCCCTGACCAGGGGTTGAACCTAGAGTAGTGGAGTGAAAGCACTGAGTCCTACCCACTGGACCACCAAGGAATTCCCCTTGTAGCGCCTTTAAGCAATACAAATTTGTTATTTTACAGTTCTGGAGATCAGAAGTTTGAAATGGGTCCCACTGGGATAAAATCAAGTGTTACAGGGCTTTCCGGAGGCCCTGGAGAGGGATCTGTTCCTTTGCTTTTCCCAGTTTCTAGAGGCCGCCTGCATTCGTTGGCCTGTGACCCTTTTCCTGCATCTTCCAAGCCAGCAACAATGGGCTGAGTCCTTCTCACGCTGCCATCTCTCTGGTTCTCTCTGTTGATTCCTTCTTCCATGTTTAAGGATCCCTGTGAATATACTGTGTCTGTCCAGATAATCCAGGATAACCTCACTGTTTCAAGCTCATCTGGTTCGTGACCTTAACTTCTGTTTGCCATCAAACCTAATTTATTCATAAATGCCAGGGATTAGGATGTAGACATCTTTGGGGGGCCATTATTCTGCCTACCACAGCTTCTTTAAGTTTTTTTTTCTAGTTTTCTGGTTCCGGTTGGTAATTTCTCAAATTATGCCTGTGAAGTTGGTTGATAAAGTTCACATCCCATTGCATAAATTGAAGCACTGCCGGAGGCCTAAGACCTGCTTAGGTTACTGAAAAACTTACTCAGGGTTAAACCTGTTCATTCATTTCCAACATGTGGAAAAAGTGGCAAAAAGCAGAGTGAATGTATATTATATTGGCAATCTCATAAAAGTTTATTTTATAAATGTATAATCATGGTGGAAACACTGGAAGAAAATACATTAGAATTTTAATAACAATGGTATTAGAGTGTTGGGCATAAGATTACAGAGAGTTTTTTCTGCTCTCTTTTTTATAGAATCAAAATTTCCATAAAATAGATATTTATAAATGGAAAACATGTTAAAAACTGATGTATTGATATTTTATTGCACCCACCGCTCTTACATAGTTCCTGCATACTTCTCTCTTCCTTCTCCAACATGATCCTGGACCTCTAACTACCAAAGATGACTCTAAAACATGAAAGGAGGCAGAACGGATCCAGGAAGGCAGTTCCTGGAACGGGGAAATTCACGACAGCGGGAGGGTGGCTGCCGATGGCTCCAGGCTTCTCAGGCCTGCCTTGGCTTTGCTAATCAACCCCAGCTTTCGGTTTCTTCTGAAATGAGGGATTAATGTGTACATCTCTCTCTTTTAAAATTCATTCATTCATTCATTTCTGACTGTACTGGTCTTCCTTGCTGTCGGGCTTTCCCCTGGTTGTGGCAAGTGGGGGCTCCTCTTTGTCGCAGTGCTCAGGCTTCTTACTGTGATGGCTTCTCTTGTCGTGGACCAGGGGTCTAGATCACAGGCTCAGTAGTCGAGACGCAGGGGCTCAGATGCTCTGTGGCATGTGAGATCTTCCCAGACCAGGGATGGAACCCACGCCTCCTGCATTGGCAGGTGGGTTCTTTACCACTGAGCCACCGGGGAAGCCCAGAGGGCTCCCTTATCCACCTTCCACTCGTTGTGCGTCCTCTAATGAGGGACCCACTCTGGCCTGCCGTTTCCTCGGTGTCCTCCGGCCCCCATGTGCAGAGGGGGAGGGTGCTGCCCTTGCGTCTGGCCCTCGTCCCCCACTGGCTGTCATTGGCCACGTTAGTCCACTCCTGGCAGGCGAGGGTTTTCAGAAGATGGAAGGAGCCCATATGTGCAATGCTCCCGCCTCGCAGATATGGGGTGGCGGAGTGCCAGTGTCCCCAGGAAGACAAGAAACACACGGATCGCCAGCTGCCATTGTACCACAGAGGGTGGCCAGCCTTTGTACGCAGGAGTCCACAGAGAGACGAAGAGCGAGGTTCAGATATCCCAGGGCTGGCAGGCGAAGCCATCTGTAACTTGACCCTACCCACTTCAGGTAAGAGCCACACCTGTCTAGTTACTCTGACTTTCCTCTGCCTCTTTCCTCTCTGGGCCTTCACTGACCTATGCCCAGAGAATCTCTCTCCAATTATTTTTACCATAAGACTCAGCTCAATTTCTACCTCCTCCAAGATGTCACTCTAGATTTTTCCAGCTAGAAGCAATCACAGTCTCTCCTGTCTTTATACTTTGACTGCATATTAATAAATTGTAGTCTAGATCCTCTCCTAGGCTGCCTTGTATCAAGTGTCACGGGGGCACAAATCTGCCTCTCTGATCACATTGTACCCCCACCCCTGCTGGGTAGAGGTTATGGCCTCCCCCGGCCACACCCTGGCAACTACTATGTTCATTTAACAGCTCTTTGTTGAGAATTTGCCATGTGTCAG